TCTGAAGGTAAACAGTCGCTGTACCCTTATTATACGGTAATGGGGTAAACGTGTTGTCAGGTGCTTATTCGTCTCCTCGTTTTTGAAGATAATCCGAAAACGAAAGCGGTGACGAAGCAAATTTGGAAAGCGCCGTGAAAAAAGCTGAAGAATGTCGTGGCCAGTTCTGATTGCTCGTAGGAATTCGTCTGGTGTACCCGGGGCTTGGAGATGCACAGGTCGAAACAACGAGGAAATGGTCGACAAGCTTGTTCACATGGGAGTTATAACGGTCAAAGAAGTCGAGGACGCTTTTCGTGCGGTTCCTCGAGGGGCTTTCGTTTCCCCTGACCTACAACTGGAAGCCTACATCGATGCGCCATTGCTTGGAGATCCGCATCTTCATATGTCGGCCCCTCATATGTACGCTACTGTCCTGGAGGCCTTAGATCTGTCGCCAGGTAGGAGTCTTTTTATTTCTGTGTTGCTCTTTTATGTGGCGTTTGGAGTTGCACAGTTAAATTGTACGTATTTCTGCCGGCACCGTGAAATAGCTCACTAAAGTTGGCTAAATTGAGGTCATTGCGTACCTTGACTTAATAATTCCACTTTCCATTTCGCCAATATTATCAGTTTTGATGAGCTTGGTAAGTTTGAGCGTTCAGAGGTATAACTATTACTTCAGAGATGCTTTGAAATAAAGTCAAATACTTACGAACTATGACAAAACTACCCCAATATGTACACTTAAGCTTATAATATATATTTAAAAGCTTATTTGTCTTAATGTGAAAGTTAGGTTTAGCTACATGTATGTATCGTTAGATCCCTCTCCAGTTATCGAAAGGTAATAATTAACGCCCTTAAAATATCGATATTGGACCTAGGCATCTAAGCTTTCTAAATGTTGACATGACTTATAAATTGATTATATAAACAAAGAGGAAAAGAGACATAACATCCCTTCCCCAGCTGTGCATAGTCCCCAGGTATTTGACTAGTTGATATGTAGGAGCATTGATTGCTTGCTATGATTCTACGATGGGGCATTTGGACACCAATTTTTGCCTGGGAGATGGGAATTAACCAACTGAAAATCTGCCAGGGGAAATGTCAGATGCCCAGGGGGTTGCCCAGGAGGGATGTTTATACAAATTTTACATGATTGTAACGGATTTGATACCTGAACCACAGTTCAACTGGCTGACCAAGATTAATTTTAGCACTCATGAGGCTTGTTTTTGCATTATAGCTGTGACCACTACAATCACTGATAAAAAGTTCACTGATCCATGTGTCCCTATGCAAACAACTCTTCAGCAGCCGTGGCAATCATTGTCGCTAGAATTTCTGAGATAGATTTTGGTTCTATCTTGGTGATCAGTTTGTCTGCTTGTACAGACACATTCTATGTGTCACAGGATAATCTGGCTGGAAACATGTTTCATGTCTTTCCTTCTTCTCTTCCATCAGGTTTGTCATTCCTCAACATTGGTAGTGGAACTGGCTACTTTTCCTGTTTGGCTGGTTGTATTTTGCAAGCTCAGGGTATCAATCATGGCATTGAACTACATGAAGATCTTGTGCACTTTGCTAAGGAAAGGGTCGAGGAATTCCTAAGGTTCTCTCCTTCGGTGGCTTACGACATGTGTCCACCCAAGTTTATAGCTGGAAATTGTTTTCGATTGGACCCAACAGGATGTAGCTATGACAGGGTTTACTGTGGAGCTGCCTGTCCAGCAAGTAAAGCTCCTTTCATTTTAAGTTTAACCAAAATTGGAGGATTTGCCATCATTCCTTGTAGAGACAGGGTAAGGTTTTTTCATTTGTGTTTGTTACCACATGTTTGGTAATTAACAATTAGACCTGTAGCCCGCAAGGGCTATTGACCTGTGGCCCTTGAGGGTGAAGGGTCTAATTGTTTTGGTATCAGCCAACTAGTCGGACAGAAAAGGCAATAATAAGTTAGCAAATGCAAGTTGAAGAAATATCTATTTGGGAATAAAATTAAAGAAAGTGTCACGCTTGATTGCGCCAATTTCGCTACTTGAGGACTATTACCAATAGTCCTCTAGTAATGTAGCCAATTAAAATGCAGGATTTGCATTAGTCCACAAGTTGGGTGATACTAATAGGACTTAGTAGATCTGGTTAATGAAGGCTTTCTAAAGGTGCCTGACTACAAGGTTAAACATAGGTACAGCTGTAGCTTATTAGGCTGCTGCTTGACTATGGCTTCCATGACCTGATGTGACATAATTATTATTGCTTTTCTCCTGGGTGGAATGCACATTTTACCCACGTAACTGCCCCTCTCCCCTCCTCCCTCCCCCATCCAGCACTTTCATTTTTTGTTTGAAAAGTTATTATTGTTGCATTTCTTTTATACTCAGCTGCTGAAAATTGAACGAGTGTCTGATTCAGGAGTGAAACAGACTTGTATCAGTGAGGTGTCTTTTGCATCACTAGTGGCAATGCCTGAAAGTGATTCAAGTCTTCCCAAGCTTTCATTTCCAAAGGAAAATCCAAGAAAGAAAGAAAAGGTTTGTGCATTATAACGTCATTGTCAACTGGCACATACAGCATGCCATGTACACTTAAACCTAACCTGGATGTTGGCATAGCAAGAAACTTTTTCCCGATGAGTTTTTGGAGAGCGGGGATGGTGCGGTGCAGTGACAAGAGTGAGAAGGCTTCTTACCAGTGTGGACTGGGTTTGATTCCAGCCCTATGTCCATATGTAGGCTTCTTTTGTTGGTTCTTGCATTTCTCCAAGGGTTTTTCTTCCTGTACTCTGGCTTTCCTCCTTCTGAAAGAAAAAATTTCCAGTTCAACCTGGATAGAGGACCTTCACAACCAGTGACCAGCTAGGGCTGATGTGGCTTCCTCTCTGAGTCAATATTGTAATTCAGTTATTTGTTTGTTTACAAGTTTATTTATTTACTGTGGGACTGTGTGCAAATCTGTTTGTTTTCCTAGTCATTTTTAGAGCTATTTTTAATTGAGAGTCGTAAAACCAAAACCAAACCAATTACTTAAGCAATCAGACTACTCAGCCAATCTCAAACCATAGTAAAACCAAAACCAAAGTAATTGCCTGATTACTTTCGACACTCAATTAAAATCCGCTAAATTGCCAGTACATGATATATTAAATAATTTTACAGTTTCAATTCTTATAGACAATATTGATCTGTCTCCATTTGTTTATGATGGCAGTCTCTACGAGTTTACCCTCCATCCAGTATACTGGTTAGCCGTGGACAGGCCAGATCACTGTTAGCAAGACTGCGAGCACTCCAAGAAGCTAGTGGTATGGACTTATTTCTGTCTCGTATTAATAACAATTTAAGAGTCTTTTGTTTGAAAATTAATCAAGACCAACTTAGTTTTGTAGGTAAATTATGCATTTAAATTTAAGAAACAAAGAAAATCAGTTTTTCCATCTTGCCCAAAGTGCAACATGTTTGCCCCACAGTGATTTATTTTCACTAGCCCCCCTCCCCCTCAGGTACGATTAAGAAAGGATTAAAATGATTGTGAAACTTACTGTAGTAATTTGATCTCTTACAGTTCTTCGACTGTAATTTAAATTTCCTCAACTTTTACCCCTGATTTTGTAGTTACTATATGATAGTTAGCAATTCTCCACACTAGTTGAAATATTATACATTCAAGACATATGGCATCACAGTGCAACTATTAGAATCAGACAGCTTGGAAAAGAGTTAACCAATCAGAATGTTACTTGAGAACAAAGGATAGCGACCTTTTTCTCTAATAAACCAATAACATTGAAGAATATGAACCCCTTACAATAGTTCTTAACAGAATTGAAAACTTAACAAAGTGCAAAATAATTCACTTACCTCTTGGGAAACTTTTGTTGATTGGTTAGTTTTGATCCTTAATTTTGTACGCTTTTCAATGGTTTCAGTTTAGTTGTCGCAAAATTAGTTTTCAAGTTAATATTTGTGAGTGAGATTTATAATTATGATAATTGGCCATCAAGGACTGAATTTCTAAGAGTGTATAATAATAATGCAGAGGAATCAAAAGTGTTAAATATGTTTTCACTTCAAAGAGACTGTTACTGTAACTGCCATTTCAAGAAGCTACCAGTCCATTGTTCTCAGTTTACGTCTTGTTTGGTTAGTTTTTCCAGGTGGCACGGTTGAAGTATTTGCACTGTAAGATCGTTTCTCTGGCACCTTTCTTCTGTTGACTGAAGAAACTAACAAGTAGTTTGCTGTTTGTTTGTTGCAGAATGTTTGCATATGTCTTTGCGTCTACCTGTCGCATTCTGTTATGTCCCATGTCAACAACAGATCCAGCAGTACCTCAGTAAGAATTCAAAAACAAAGAAAGAATCAAGAACCATTGTGACTTCACCTGTGGACAGAAAGATCTCTTTCTTTGGCCTGCAAGGTACATGCGGAGAAATGAGTTCTTCTTGCACAGATCAGACAGGCTCAGAGAGTCTTTGGAGCCATCTACAGCAAGACAAGCTATGGCAAACTGTGCTGGAGTATTACTACAGCCTCTGTAATGTCTCCATTGAGAAGAGAAGTCAAGCATTGAATGTCTACATCAAGAGACGAGTCAAGCAGAAAAGTGAAAGAAGAGAAAGTAAGAAAAGCTTGTCTTATGCTGAGATTGCTCATAAGCTTGGCATACTCGCTGTGAACATGGCACCTCCTCCGATCTCAAAACAAAAATTGGAGGACACAGTGGAAAACAGAACTGAGTTAGAAGGAATATCATGTACAGCAACTACTTCTTCTCCAAGTGGCTTCTGTGGTGCACTTCGTGTAGATGGCAGTATCACTGAACAGCACGGCACTAATGGCTGTTCAGCCAAATTGCCATGCAGCACTCTTGCTAATGATTCAATTGTTGCAAGTGATAGCAATTCTCAGCAAACAAGGTTATGCGACACTACAAAACATCCAAGTACATTAAGTGACAGTCAACCACCCAACAAATTGTCTTGGAAGTCTTCTTCAGATAAAGATTCTTCTTGTCAACTAAGCTTACATAATGAATGTAGAACTTCAAGCACATCTTCTGGATCACACAGCCCACGATATACTAATGTACTTATTGACTTAGAGAAAGTGCACATGGAAAGGTTATCCAGTGTACCTTCAAATGGCTGGGACATAAACAATGATCTTGTTCTTGTGCGCTTTTTATGCGAAGTTCATGAAAAGTCTAATCCAGGACGATGTAAGGTAAGAAAATAATGAAGTCTTTTTAATAGTACATTAAACTGCTCGGAATGCGTTAGGACAACTCTGTCTGCCTTCAAGGAGTTTTCTCCTTAAAGAGAGGCCATATGGTTTAGAGAGATGTCTGCTGTGGAGGTACAATAACAGGGGTGAGCTCTATTGGCATCAACTTCTTGGCTTGATGTCGACTTTACCTTAACTTGCTAAATTACCGAATGGTCTGAGGTTTTACAGTTAAGCTTCCTCTCGACTTTTATTAAAACTGGGATGAGTGATGTAAATCAACAAGTGTGTAGAGTCAGTGTATAGTCTTTGTCAAGGTCAACACTTAAAGGATTCTGTACTTGGTCTAATGAAGACCAAACCACCAGTCCTTATACTAATTTCTCTCTCATCATGAAACTGACAAGAGAATTTGGACAATCTACAAATTAATGTCCAAACGTGTCTACAGTTTACAGAAGATTTGTTTAGATACCTCTTCCCCGCTAATCCTGTGAATGGATTGTGTCAATATGCAAGCATAAGTTACATATTTGCATCATCAATCCAACAGGGCTGGTTCAAGGCTGAAAGTGTCATACCTGAGCTGTTTTCCAAGGCTGGTATCATGAGCCATCCATGTCTTGCTGGCCTCTCTTCAGAGCAGTTAGCTTACCGGGCTATTGCTCTGTGTAGAATTGCTCAGATTCTTGACTCAGTGCTTTATCTCGTGAGCGGCCCCTCTATGTTGAGAGACCAGACCTTTTGTCCAAATAAATTCCTGCTTGATTCCTTTTCGGAGTCCTCCTTCATGTCATCATGGCTATTCTCCGAGTCCAGAGGAAGCCCAACTCCAGTTTTAAAGAGAAAAGAAGGTTTGTCAAAGCGTGACGTGGAGGGGAAAGCTGATGATTCACCCAAAGAGGAGACTAATCACCAACAGGAGGTGATTGTCAAAAAGACAACAGCCTCACGAGTATCCCCTGAAAGGTACAAGGAGCAACTCAGGAAGGTGAAGAACAAGGTGAGAACATGCATTTGTTCCACTGTTTCAGGAGTATACTTATTAAAGATTAAAGATTGGCCCGTGTACTGTTGTTACAGAAGAAATTGCCTTTTGTTGGTACAATTCACCCATAAAATAACAAGTTTGTTACGGGTGTGAAGATCTTGAAAGGCTACAGGTGACTCAAAACTTTATGTCAGTCCTGAGTCTTTTGTCATCAGACAAGGGCCAACCAAGATCTGGCCATGTCCAGCAAACGGATCTATAAAATTTGGGGAGATTTTTTTAGTGCACCTGTTGATGATGGTTAATTAGAGAGCTTGAGCAAACCACAACGGCAACGGCAATGAGAACGGCACCAAACAAAAGGTTTAATATTGTGAGCAGAACACTTGTCAGACTAAAAAGACAACTTAGTCTGTCACGTGTCTTCTCGAGAAAGACATGTGAAAGCAACCCAGTTATTGTGTGTTGCGGAGGTGCTCTTTGAATTTTTCGAGATCCATCGTTTGTGCAGGACATTTCTTATCAGCTTCAAAGCCCTCATGTTCCATCTTTTGAACCTGAGAGTACACAATGTTATGCGTGTTTAAGGCCCCATCCACACTACACCCGAGGAATTTTAAAACGCAACAATCACCGGCCATTTTGGATTTGTGTTTGAGGAAAACTCGGTCAGGAAAATCACATGGTTATCGTGAAGCCATTGTGTTTGAAAAGCTCCGTTTTCAAAATGTTTCCCGTCCACACGAAAACGCAAAGCCGGCATTTTCAACTTCCTCTGGTTTGAAGAGCGTTTTCGAAAAGCTCTGTTTTCGAGACGGATTAGTGTGGACAGTAGGCCTATATACATGTAACCGTAGAAATAAAGCTGTGTTTTCAAATTTCTCCGGCGTAGTGTGGAGGCTGCCTAAGATTTCGCCTTTAACATTTGTTTTGTCCTTTGCTTCTTGGTAGATACATTTTATAGAAGAACAAAAGCAACTAGTTCACAGCATTCGAGAGCAGGAGATACCTCCACAGGAACTAACTCTTGACATAGACATTGTTGATGCCAAGCTGCAGCGGAATGAACTGATGCTTAAACAACAGAAACAAGAACATTACAAGAACAACCTGCAAGCACTGTTGAAGAAACTCAAGGAAGAAGAGAAGCTGCTAGCCAAGGTCTNTGCTAAAAATTGATAAAATGTGCAAATAAGTTAACTGTTATGATTCATGCATATCTGCGCACGCGCGGGCTCAAAATAACGCACGTTCTCTCGTGAACGAAACATACTTTGAGGTGAACAGTTTTCAACTGGTGTGCAGGAACTGCACACCAATGTAAAGTAAATACAGCCGCCATTAAGCTTTGTGAAGTAATTATGTTTTTTCTGTTATTCAACAGAAGGCGGAGTCTTCACTAGAGGCCTCAAGGCAGGAGACAATTGAAGTTCAACAGTCCAGTTCCTCGGCGCAGCCGGCTACTAAAATTACAGACCAGTCAGCTGGGTCATCTCGAAAATGGAGTGTCAGCTCTTCTAGTAAGCAGGAAAATGACAGCAGTAACTCTGTGCGTTACGACTTATCATCGCTACTGCCAAAAATGCGTTTTCTGTTGCCGCTCTGCAATCAGCGGTGGCGCTTGGTTCAAGAGCTGTTGCAGACCACTGAACTGTCAGCTCCTGATTACATGCCGGTTATAACGGTGGATAGGCGAGTACCGCTGATCGAGCGCCATGCTGACTCGCGGAACAGTGTTTTCTTACAAGTTTACCATGAGCTGAGAGGGGAGAAGCTTCATTTTCGGTCAGTAAGCTTGGTTTTGTGTTTATTTAGTGATTGTTGTAAGCTAAGACCAAAATAACAATGACGCCAATTGCTTTGACCGAAAATAAACAAATAAACGAATTAGAGCTCACGTAAACATAAAATTGGTGGTAAACAAGCGTTGGGTGTTTAATGCGGGAAAAAGTGCCGATCGAATACCAAGCGCTAGTTTCATTTGCCAAGCGCGGGAAATCAAGTTTCCTTTGCCAACCGCGGGAAAACACGTTCGACCAAGTCCCTGAGTTGAGTTTAAAAGTGGGTGCACCTGTACTGGTTGTTGACATTGCGTTTCTTTGCAGCTGGAACAAGAGGAAGTATGACCAATGGTGGGAAGTGAAGTTTGTAGGTGAAGGCATTATTGATCAGGTGGGTTGATACAAATTGATAAATGGGATTCTTAGTTAGGCTTGTTATTTTTCACGTTATGCAGAACTTACACAATGGAAATGGCAAACGCTTTCACCGTTTATGGTCAGATGAGAGAGTCTTTACAACAGACACGCAACAGACATGTGTCTTCTAAATCCATTCAAAACCACTACTTTCTTAACCTCTTTTAAGCAATCAGCCCTTGGTGTTAGCAGACATTTTTTTCTTTAACTTTGTTCCCTTTTCACTCTAGGGTGGAGGTTTTCGTGACTCTTTGGCTGAACTTGCTGACGAGCTGTGCCCTCCTGAAGAACGCATACCAGAGATCCTGCCATATCTGATCAGAACTCCTAATCACAAGGTACACTCCTTCTTGGCCGCATTGAGTAATTTAGGTTGGAATAGAATATAAATCTAGGTCAGTTGATCAGTCAATAAGTCGGGCAGTCAGTCGGTCTGTTGGCTGGTCAGTTGGTCAGTCAATCAGTAGACAGTCAGTCGGTCAGTCGGTCAGTCAATAAGTCAGTCAGTCCATCCGTCTGTCCGTCCGTCAACCAGTCAGTCAGTCAGTCAGTGTGCTGGCTGGCACTCATCAGTCAGTCAATCGGACATTCAGTCAGTCAAATCAGTCAGTCAGTCCGTCCGTCCGTCCGTCCGTCATTCAGTCCGTCAGTCAGTCAGTCAGTCAATAAAAGAGTGTTAATGTTCGCGGTATGATTTTTCTTAGGAGAAGACTGGTGATTTTCTGGACTGTTTCATTCCCAATCCCTCTTGTGACGCTTTGCACATGTTCCACTGGCTAGGGGTCCTCATGGGAGGAGCATATCGCAGTGATGAGAGCCTCACTGTGGCCTTCCCTCCTTTTGTTTGGAAGCTCATTGTTGGAGAGCATGTCACGTGGGCCAAGGACTACATCGCCATTGATGAAGCAGCTGTTAACATAACAGGTGAGAGTAACACGTAATCTCTGCAGACATGTTGACACTGTTGCCCGTTGCGAGGAATAATTTGTCCTGCAACTTGCGCGCTACACGCGCGATTTTTTTCATGGAACTTCGTCGCGCGTGGGTGCTGTCGCTGCTCGAGGTGGGCAGTTGAGGGAACTAAATACGCCGTCACATGTAGTGTACTATGAGTTGTGCAACTTGTTTCTTGTTTCCTTATTTTGCGCGCTTTTGATCTTTTTGCGAGACGCTTTTAGTAGCATGATACATCGCAATGTGTGTCACAGCTGCGTACAATTCGCGTTCTGTTCCTCTTTTGTTGTTGTTGTCTGCCTTGTTGTGTTCCGCACAGAAGCGCGCCAAAGGTTCTGCAATTCGAGGCATANCCCGGGCTGAAATTCGCCATGTAATCAGGCCCTTATTCAAGAGCCAGAAACAGCAAGCAACCACAAGATTTGCAGTGTTCCTCGGTATGTACTGTACATTTAATGAAGACGTTGTGTTTTATTGCAAGTTTTGATTACTAAATTGTTGAAAAGACTTTTGCATTCTTTGAGACATTTATCTAGCCAAAATAAATCGATATTTCGTGAATTAAATTCTCCGCAATTCCGCAAAATTGGTAGCAGTAGTAATAAGCTTATATCAAAGTGCTCTATGAGCAAAACCGTGAATTTTCTATTGAATGATGGCTGATATGAGGTAATCATTGCATTATATGAAATTTAACTTTTCATGTAATGCTTATTCAAGTGTCTTTACAATTTACTTGTCAGGTAAAAAATGAAGCACATGAACATGAAGTGACTGGCTAGGAGTACTGAAAGACCAATGGTGGACATCAGATACAGCTATTAAAAAGGTAATTTTGTGTGTATGTACAGTAGTTAGCAACTCTACATGGCAGTGACAAGTACAACATGTACTTGTAATATCAGTTGGAATTCTTTCTGTTAAGAATTAACAAAGGGGATAACAC